GGATTTGCCTGATTGCTAAGATTTCAGTTCACTCTCAGAGGTAAGCAAAATAGAGCTATTAAGGAAAACCGTGATAATTCGGCTGTAGCTTTACAGTGTTCTATGTAGCCAATCAGCCTTGTAGAATCTCTAACATAGGTGCAAGAGTAAAGCGGTGGGGGGAAGCTGAGATGCCTTTAATGCCATAAATTAATTGTTTATATTGTGACAAACTCTTATATGTTTTCATCATTAATATATTTTGATATAATATTAATAAATTAAATACCAACTTTTAATAAAAAGTTTTCATGGATTATTGGTATACCATATGCAGTAAATAAAAATAAATCAGTGAAATATAATAAAATGTTTTGTATTGAGTGATTGTATATGGCTACACGTGTGTATGAGTACTTATGCATGTAGTGCTCAGAAGGTGATGCCAGGTGTCTTCCTGGGTCACTGTGTGCCTTCCACATTGAACAAGAGCTCACCAGTTTGGGCAGTCTAACAAACTAGCTTGCTCTGTTGAGCCTGTCTCCATCTCCTGAATGTTGGGATTAGGGACAGACATCCATGTCCACCCAACACTCACACGGACGGTGGAGATCTCAACTCTAGTCCTGATGCTCACACGGCATGCGGTTCATCTCCCTAGCTCTCATTTACAGCTTTTAATTCAAGCATGTAATAATACAGCAATGACGCAACTGCATAGCTTATATGCTTTTACTGAAGTGAGAGGTCCTTTTGGAGACTGAGAAAAACAAATACCTTGACCGAGGCACCTCCATTAGCAATCAGAGTGGCTACCGTGAGGTGTGTGAACTCTTGCTGAGTCAACAAGAGGGAATGACAAGTATCATTCTGCATTAAATTTGACTCCCTTCCAGGGATACTCATTGGCGCGTCAGGCAGAGTCTCAGTTTCTGCCACCCGAGTCTATGTTGGCCTAATTGGAATCCCATCTATTTCTAAATATTGAAAATATCCATTGAAAATGGATACAAAGAGCAAAGCGAGTAAAAACCAAACCAAGTTGGGCCAGAAGTGATGCTTAACTCGCTGAGGTAAATGATGCCTTTTAGATGTTCTTCAGTTCTTGAAGAGGGAAAAGCAAATCCAAGTAATGGTCTCCCCACAGAGAAATAGCACAAGAGAGAGTGCTGGTCTTGATTTGGAAACCAAAAAACCCTAAATTTTTAATCCAGCACTTTGTTTTATCTTCAGGGAGAACCTAGACAGAGGGCGGGTGTTCTGAATTCCCAAGGTAAGTTCAGTTGTCTGGATGAAGACTGGATTAGTTAGCTAAGAAAGGCGTACGTGCACACGCGCACACGCACACACGCATACACGCACACCACTTGTGCTTGCATTTATTGAGCACAGCAAGGGCACACCCAGAAGCCTGTCATCCAGCTTGTGCCAGGAGATGATTCTCTCTCTACCTGTCACATCTCCTCCAGGTTTCCTACCACAGTCAGGTGACCAACTTAGAACCAACAAACATTAAAAAAACAGCCCAGTCAAATAAGACACTTCCAGGGAACCCAATTGGACTCCCTGCCTGGTTCCCAGCACAGAGCCTCGGCATCCACATCAGGCCTTTGTGTCTGCCTGCTGCAGTCACCACCTTGAACATGGGACCGCTATCCCTCCCTTCACCACCTCTGTGAGGGCAGCTCCTGTTTCTGGTGTAGCTATAGGCCCTACCAGCACTCAAAATGAGTGAGGAAGCAAAGGGGTGGGGAGCTGGTGGGAAACACAGGAGGAAGGGAGCTCAGGAGTCACCCAGTGGGGGGTGCAAAGAAGAGAAATGACAGGACCTGAGAGGTGACTCAGTCAGTGAAGTGGTTGCCCTGAAAACCCCAGGCTGTAGGTTCAATCCCCCAAACCCTTGTAAAATGATGAAGGAGAGCTGACTCAGTTGTTAGGAACCTGTACTGCTCTAGCAGGATGCCAGGCGTGGCCATGGAGCGCTGGCTCAGCTGTTAGGAACCTGTACTGGTACAGCAGCAGCAGACATGACTGATTCTCAGACTCACATGGGGTAACTCACGGCTACTACAACTCCAGCTCCAGGGGATCCAACACCCTCTTCTGGACTCTAAGGGCACCAGCACATACTGACATATATACATAGTACCTTAAAAATAATGAAAGTCTTTTTTTATACCAGATATATGCAATATATATATACATATGGGGGTGCAGTAAAGAAACTGCCAACATGACAGCTCCATGGTATGGTTAGGGGGAAAGCTTTTAAGCTTTTATTGTAAATGAGAGAGAGAGAGAGAGAGAGAGAGAGAGAGAGAGAGAGAGAGAGAG